AAATTAGTAATGTTGTTTAGTACAAGTTTAATTAGGGACTATGAATTTTGTTGATTGATTTGAAGCTCGGCTACCATTATTAACAATGACTTTTCTTTAACATCACAGTCATTTCCACATATTGGTATGTGTACTATCTTATTCTATTCATATTAATAGTATTCATCATTTGTGCTAATTAAGTTAATATACATGGCAACTTAATAACATGCTTATGCAGCTGCCTACTTTTGATGAAACCAAAAAAGCAGTCCGAGACTTAAATAAAAATGGGGCTCCTCGTCGTCATGGTTATAATGGAGTATTCTTTATAAAGTGTTGGAATATTATGGGTTGGGACGTGGTTAGAGTTGTTCAAGATTTTTTTCTAGGAAATTAATCATATCCCTAAAGCTGTGGTCATTTCTTTGATTGTGCTCATTCCTAAAAAGGAAAGACCCTCCACCTTTGTTGATTGTGCATGCTTGATTCACAAGGAGTATGAGTTAGGGGAATGGGTAGGGAATATGCTAATTAGCTTACAACCTCATCATAGTGGCAGATACACACTTTTGGCAAATTTGCATTCAATGTCTGGGAACTGGAAAGCAATGGGTCAAGTACGAAGAATGATGAGAGAGAATGTGGTTGAGAAGAGCAAGGGATGTAGTTGGTTTGAACTGGAAGGCACTGTCCATGAGTTCATTGCTTTTGACCAATCGCATGTTGACTCTCAAATTGTGTATATGATCTTAGATAGCCTTTTCAGCCATTTAGAACCCACAAATTTTCTTCATTCACTCACCTTATAAAATCTCACAAAATCTTTACAATTGCCATTAATTATTCTATTTAGTAGTGTTCTAAAAAACACCAAGAACTGGCAGAAGACTTAAGACCTAATTGCTAGGCAAAGCACAGGCAGAAAAACTGTGGGCTATCAAGAGAAGCCTTTCGAATTTCTTGGTCCAAAAGCCAATAAATGACACTGAACGTTTTACCAAAACCTTAATTGACCTGAACTTTAAAAAACATCATGATTGGCTTTGGACATGTGAGTGCAGGCACCTAAAAACAAATGTGACAAGACTTACTTGCAACGGCAAAATAAACACAATAAATTTGTAACTTTGTTATGTTTAGGATCAAGTTTTTGGATTCATAATGTGGTTCTTTGTTGTTGTAATTAGTCTTATTATCACTTTCTGTTGGGAAAAACACTCCGGGCTTTCCCGCTTCGTGAAGTTAAGATAGGCACTTAGGAAATTAGGTAGCAATGGGAGCACGCGATTTAAATTCTCCAATATGGAGATTCTTCCACTATACAAAAGAATAGTAGGGTATACAAGGATGTTACAAAATTGTCTCACTCAATGGTGGCTCACTCAAGCTTGAGGATGATGTCTTCCCAAGCTATCTCTCTTCTCTCTCAAAGAGGCTCTCTAACTTTCTCACTCTAGAAGTGGATTCACTCTTGGCTAGGATTGTTAGGAATGGAGGCTCCTACTCCTATTTATACTACTCCACCTCCCTAATGAATGGTGGAGAGTAGTTCTCTAGAATGTTCTACATATGTCTACATATTCTAGAAAACTCCAAGGAATCTCTACACCTCTCCATTCTCTTCCATATGCTTCCATACTCTTCCATAGGCTTCCGGAAGGTTCCACACATCTCTAGAATATTCTAGAGGTTTCCACACTATTCCACAAGCTTCTAGAGAGTTCTAGACTTCTCTAGGATTCTCCGGAACGTTCTAGAAAATTCTATACTTCTCTAGAAAGCTCTAGAATTTTCTAGAACCTCTCCAATTAAGGAGGGATCCCAACAAATCTCCCCCTCCCGACTTAATTGGGAGGTAGTAGCAAACCTGCACCTTGACAGCAGTCTTCGAACTTGTTTGTCGGTATTACCTTGGTCATCATGTCTGACCAGTTTTCGTCTGTGTGAACCTTGTCAAGATGAAATTTCTTTTCTCGAGAACTTCTCGGCAATATCTTTACCATGGGAGAGAATTTCTCTTCATTGTGCATGCCTTTTTCTTGTTGGAATCCTTTGACCACCAACTGAGCTTTGTAGCGAGGCTTTGAGCTACTATCTTCAGTCTTGATTCGATACACCCATTTATTCTTCAGGGCTCTTCTCCCTTTTGGTAGCTCCACAAGTTCATAAGTGTGATTCTCATGCAAGGATTGCATCTCTTCTTGCATGGCTTTTCTCCACTCTTCTTTATGAATATCATTGATTGCTTCTTTGTAACTTTGCGGCTCCCCCTCATCCGTGAGTGTAATGTAATCTTCGGTGTTATACCGGATGGATGGTCTTCTCTCCCTAGAGGATCGCCTCGGCTCTGGTGCTGGCAGAGAACTAGATTGAGGATCTTCCTGATTTGATTCATCATGAGTCTCTTGGTTGCTTTGCTCATGGTTTTCATCATCATTATCTTGATGTGTGTCATCCTCACGTTGAAATGGACTAAGTTCGGTGTTCTTGCTTCTTCTCAATCTTGGCTTCTCCGAGTTCTTAATATCTTCAATCGTTTGATCTTCGAAGAAGATGACATCTCTGCTACGAACAACCTTCTTATTGATTGGATCCCATAGCCGATAGCCAAATTCATCCTTGGGTGAGCGAAGGTAGATACACTCCTTTGTCTTTGCATCAAGCTTTGCTCGCTCATCCTTGGGAATGTGAACAAATGCTCGGCACCCGAACACCTTAAGATGATTGTATGAAGCCTTTTTGCCCGTCCAGACTTCCTCTGGGATGGCGCCGTTCAAAGGAACCGATGGTGTGAGGTTGACAATGTCAACTACGGTCATTATAGCTTCTCCCCAAAATGATTTGGGTAACTTAGCATGAGAGAGCACACAACGAACTCTTTCTTCAATAGTTCTATTCATTCTCTCAGCTAGCCCATTCAGTTGTGGTGTCTTGGGTGGAGTCTTCTCTAGCCTAATGCCATATTTCTTGCCATAGGCTTCAAAGGGACCTCTATACTCACCTCCATTGTCCGACCGTACACACTTGATCTTCCGGCCGGTCTCACGTTCTACCTGAGCGTGGAATTCCTTGAAGGCGTCAAGCACTTGATCCTTGGATTTTAACAGGTGCAACCACACCTTCCTTGAATGATCATCAATGAAGGTCACGAAGTACAATGCACCACCAATGGATCTCTCGGACATTGAGCACACATCGGTGTGTACAAGGTCGAGGATATTCTTTCTCCTTGTGGGCGGAGAAGATCTTTGGAAAGCAACCCTATGTTGTTTTCCAGCTAAACAATGTGCACAAGGATCGAGTGAATTACCTTTCATGTCCGGGAGGAGATGCTTGCGAGCGAGTATGTGGAGTCCCTTCTCACCGATGTGTCCAAGTCGTTTGTGCCATACCTCCATGTCATCAGTGGTTATATTTACTTCCCCTTTGCAGAGCTTGGCTTGCATCACGTACAATGAGCCTTCCTTCTTTCCTCGAGCCATGACCAGACTTCCTTTGGTGAGCTTCCATTTTCCTTCACCAAAGTAGTTCATCAGACCAGCATCATCTAACTTTCCAGCAGAGATAAGATTGAGGCGCATGGCCGGGACATGCCTCACATCCTTGAGAACAAGCTTACATCCGGTGCTAGTTGTTAGGACGATGTCTCCTATCCCAACAATCTTGCTTCTATCTTGGTTTCCCATTTGAACCGTGCCAAAGTCACCGCTTTGGTAGGATGAGAAGAAACTTCCATGGGGAGTGACATGGAAGGAAGCACCAGAATCGACAATCCAAGAGCTGTCATCACAAGCAATGTTGAGAATATTACCTTCTCCAACAAGATATAGCAGATCTTCTTTTGCGACCACCGCAGCAGTACTCTTCTCTTCTTGCTTCTTTGTTGGGCTGACTTGGTCTGGTTTGACGTTACCGGCCTTTTGGTCTCTCTTGAGAGATCGACACTCCATTTTCCTATGGCCCAATCTTCCACAGTAGTAGCATGTGATCTTCGAGCGTGACTTGGATCTTCCTCGAGATTGATATGGATCTCGGCACTTACTGTGTCCACGAGTCTCATTCCTACCCCGGTTCTCAATAACATTGGCCTCGGGATGGATTGAATCACCTCGTTCCATTCTCCTTGCTTCTTCTCCAAGAAGACTATCGCTGACGGTATCCATGGTTAGCTTTCCTTCCGGAGCTGAGTTACTAAGCGTAACCACGAGTGTGTCCCAACTTTCCGGCAAGGAACTCAGGAGTAGAAGGGCTTGCAACTCGTCATCAATCTTCATCTCAATTTTGGTTAATTGATTTACGAGCCCCTTGAAATTGTTAAGGTGTTCAATCATACTATGACCATCCTTATACTCCAACTTCACCAACCGTCGAACTAAATTGGCCTTATTACGAGGTGTCTTCTTTTGAATCATGGACTCAAGCTTAGTCCATAATTCATAAGCATTTGTGTAAGTAGAAACATGCTCGAAGAGAGATTTGTCTATGTACTTACGGATCATAGCAACAGCCTTGCGATTGAGTAGCTCCCATTGGGCATCACTCTTTCCCTCAACCTTCTCTTTGTAGATGATGGGCTCATGCAAATCCTTGCAGTATAAATGATCTTCCATCATCGGCTTCCAATATGAGTAGTTGTTGGCGGTGAGCTTGAACATGTCTCCATCATGAGCGACGTTATCCTCCATCTTGAACTGCACGAGCTCACTACTAGAAAAAAAGACATTTGCTGCGGTCGTTTTGACCCATTTGCTGCGGTTCACGCCCGCAGCAATAGCGGGAGCAGCAAAATCCAAAAAGTGCTATTTGCGGCGGTCGTACCCGCAGCAACAAAGTGCCCGGATTTTTTTTAAAAAATACACTTTTTGCTGCGGTTCCTTAACAACCGCAGCAAATACATATGCCAAATTAACTGTTTTTGCGGCGGTCCTGTACAACCGCAGCAATAAGTGTTCAAAAAATGTGCATCTTATGTGCACATTATTCTCTTTTAACGGACATTTTCAATCAATCCAAATATCAATCAAAATATCAATCCAAATATCAATCCAAATATCAATCCAAATCAATCCAAATATCACATAACAAAAAAAAGTTAACTAAAAGTTATATCGTTAATACATTTTCGATCTAATATAGAGTTTACAACAAATTGTCACAAACATATATCGCCCATCTATCACGAATTTCATCAATTTCTGTCATTGAAAGCGCCTCATCTCGTAAGGTGCTTTTGTACACCTACAAAATAAAGCATTTCTAATTAGTACAACTACGATTTGGAATATAATTTCATAAAAATAACCCTTTCACATTATAACTAAAACATTTCTCATAAATAAATATATATATATATTTCTTTTATGCAATTCAATAAACTTTGTTTCCTTCTATATATATGAATTGATGCACTTTTCGAAAAGTGCATCAAATAAGGTTTATTCGAAAGTGCATCGGATACGGGTTATTGTGCATCAGATCGACACTTTGGACGGTTGAGATTAATTCTCATTTTACACGTTAAAATGTCCTCTCATTTGAACGCATCCCCTATATATATATATATATATATATATATATATATATATATATATACCCATGAAAACATACCTGCTCTAAATCTTGACCTTCATTGATACTTCTACTCAGATCATAAATGAATCTCATCATATAATATCCACACTCCAAGCCGCCCGTTTGTTTTGCGCACTGAAAAATTGTACACAAAATATACTTTATATTCATATTACTCACTACTAAGTTAAATGACTTAGAAACTATAGTAAAATATTTAGTGAAACGTTATATATACTTATTATACCTTCATCTGTTTCCAAATGATCTTTTTCACCTTTTCACTTCCATGGGCACAAATATTTCGAAAAACACTATTATGAAACATTCAAAGTTAGAACATAATTTTGATGAAAAACATAGTTAATGCATTAACAATTCTCATGTTTGCGAAAAAACATTTTTTAAAATTACCTGCTGAACAATGACATGATTAATAAATGACGCATCGGGCTAGTTCGAAGAGAATCATACATAAAGATCATGCCACGTGAGATCCAAATCACAAGCAACACCCAGTGATGACTACATGAGTAATTAGCGATTTGCGTTATGTAGTAGCTAGAAAAACATATTTGTATATCATCCATATTATATCTATGTAATGAACTTAATATAAGTAGATAAATGCATACCTTTCATAATAAGGAGCAACAAGAATATCTATGTCGGCATTCTGGCATTCAGTGATTGCTCGATTTATGTAAACTTTCACATCTTCAGGGTTATTTTCACATGCTGTTGAAGAAATTGATTCAGGACACATCCATCCAATCTGTGCAAATGTATCCAGACCCTGTAGATAATCTTACATTGCTCTGCAAAAGCATTGAGTTTAATTCCTAACACAAATTAAATAATATAGTAATAACTCATACACTTTGAAGATCTTACATTACAAATACTTGAATAATGGAAATGTTAATCATTGCACCAGACAGAAACTGACTGATATCCTCAATAGTAAGAAGTGCATGACTATCATCAGATTCATAATGGAACATAGAAGCATCTAGTGTAATAACAATGGGATCATCACTAGATCGGGATGCTATCATCGAGTGCAACCATTTGCAATCTCTAGTAAGTGACAATAGAACCTTTTCAGACACTAGAGATCTTTGTATGGTTGGTTTTTTATGGATGTCCAACTTCTTCTTTCCCTTCGTTGAGTTAGTACTCATCACCTACAGATAATAACATACCAAATACCTCAACAAAAATTTTCATGAATTTTATTTTTTTTGGTAAAAAAGGTAAATATATATTAAATGCCAAAATTAGATTACAACATTTAGAGGGGCATTCCCCAATCAAAGAAGCAACTATACTACAGTTTCAAAAAGACAACAACATCAAACAACTCTCTCACAGTAATACATCACTAACACCAGGTCACTCAAATTTCATAGCAACTGAGAAATAGAAAAAGGAGAATCAAAACTCAATCATACTTACGGGGTAAAGTCTAAATAGAACACGATAAACATGTAAGCAGTAGGATAAAAGCCTTCATCGATCCAAATAGTTCTACTGTCCTCATAATTCCTTTGCCCCATGTGATGATGATGCTGGTTTTGTGAAGCGCTATCTGATTTCTTTTTCCTTAGTTCCTATTAAGAAAATAGAGTTTAGTTTATATTTCATACATAAATACGTGGCAAGTGTTTTAAAGTTACCTCAGCTTCTGGAGACATCTTTTGTCTCTTAAACTCTCCCCAAATATCTTTTGTGATGTGACGCCATATTTGTGGCGGAAGTTTTCCATCTTCATATTTTGTTCTCTTCCTAAGACAAGTAATCCATCCTGAAACTAATTTTGCCTTAAAGTCTCTAAAGCGACATGCCACTGAAGATAAAAAGAGACTCTTCATCACAGGATCTTCATTAAGATGAAACAGATTCTGTAACAATAAAAAAAAGTCATTGTTAGTAATTAAAAACTAATATATGTTTGAATTAAAGTGCTTACCCTAGTATCTTCCCAGAGAGTATCTTTCAAGCCAGTAGGTACTTCTGACCAACTCCAGTTGATGTTCAATTTGCGAGAACATAAGCCAACATGCTGCCCATATTTCAGTCTCCACTTACCGGTAGCACGACCCACTGAATCAAATTGTAAAAACATGGGCTCAGTTATTTTTAGCCCTTTAAATGCCCCCCTCCCAGATTTCTTACTGTCATTCTTCTTTTTTCTTCTTCTTTTATCCAAGAATTTCTCAATCTGTTCCAATGAATACCCTGACTCCTCCATATCTCCTCTAATATCAGCCTCTTCTTCAAAATCATGAATCCGTCGTGAAGTGGCATCCTCTTCGACTTCCTCCTCACTTTCCTCTTCAATAATATAATCATCATCCTCATCATCAGACATTATGTATAGAATTCCTGCATGTTGGAATATAAAACATATGTTATGTAAAATATTAAAATTGTAGACATTACAATATAACACTAACGACATTAGTAACATCTTTAATGCGTACACATATATAAATCATTTGAACACGCACTTTACTTTTCAATGTAGCCATGTGTCTTTCAAATGGGTACGCCCACCTCAAGAATACTGGACCACACATCTTGATTTCTCGAACCAAATGAACTATTAGATGGACCATTATGTCAAAGAATGAAGGTGGGAAAAACATTTCAAATTGACATAGTGTTACAATAACATCAGCTTGTAACTCATCTAATGTCTCTGGGTCAAGAACCTTATTGCATATTGTATTAAAAAAGGCACAAAGTCTTGTGATAGCAACTCTGACATGTTTTGGCAAGATGGCTCGAATTGCAATGGGCATGAAAACTTGCATCATAACATGACAATCATGAGATTTCATACCAACCAACTTCACACCAGTTGTCGAAACAAGCTTTTTTATGTTTGATGAGTATCCTGTAGGAACTTTAATATTGTAAAGACACTCACAAAAGATTCGTTTTTCAGCTGCAGACAAGGTATAACAAGCGGGAGGTAGAGTAAACGCGGACCTTTTTTTCCCCTTAGTGATCTTATCTTGCGGCCACAATTCTGGGCGAATTTTCATTTCTTGCATGTCTCTCCGCACATGAATGCCATCTTTTGTCTTTGTTGGAATGTTCAATAGTGTCCCAATAATAGCATCACAGACATTCTTTTCGATGTGCATCACATCAAGACAATGTCTAACTGGCAAATTTTGCCAATAAGGAAGCTTCCAGAATATGGACTTCTTTTTCCATAGAGAAGCCGACTCTTTTTCCTTTTTGGTTTTACCAAAAACATGGACAACACCATCCTGACGCTCATAAACTTCCCTACCGGTCAAGGGTCTAGGGGCAGATCTCAACTCAGACTCTCCATCAAATGATTTCTTCTTTTTGCGATAAGGGTGATATCGAGGAAGAAACCTTCGAGTCTTCATATAAACATATTTCCCCCAATGTGGCAGATATGTGGAGTCCATATCATCAACACAAATCGGGCATGGTTTCTTTCCTTTCACTTTATACCCGGATAAATCCCCATATGCTGGATAGTCATTTATTGTGCAGAACAGCATGGCGCGCAATTTGAAGTATTCCTGAGTATGTGCATCAAAGACTGAAACCCCTTCATCCCATAACATTTTCAAATCATCAATGAGAGGGGCGAGATAAACATCAATGTCATTCCCAGGTTGTTTAGGTCCAGATATTAGAAGTGACAACATTATGTATTTACGCTTCATGCACAACCATGGTGGTAGGTTATATATAACCAAAAGAACCGGCCATGTAGTATGTTGACTACTAAAGGTCCCATATGGATTCATTCCATCTGTGCATAGTGCTAATCTTAGATTCCGCACTTCCTTGCCGAAATCTGGAAATGATTCATCAATGGTCTTCCATTGGGGAGAGTCGGCAGGATGTCTCAGCATCCCATCTTTCTTTCGCTGCTCTCCATGCCACCTTAAGTGCTTTGCATTTGTCTTTATCGAAAATAGACGTTTCAACCTCGGAATTATGGGAAGATACCACAACACCTTTGCTGGTGGACCTTTTTTATCACTGTTTGAGTCAGCATCATCGCGTTTGTACCTTGACTTACCACATCGTGGACACTTGTTCAACATGCAATATTCATTTCGGTACAAGACACAATCATTCGGACATGCGTCAATCTTTTCGTACTCTAAACCCAAAGGGCACATGAGCTTCTTTGCATAATAATTTGACTTTGGCATTTCATTTCCATCAGGAAGCATGTCATGTAATACTTCAAGTAAGGATGTGAAACTCGTGTCGCTCCAATTATTCTTGGCTTTCACATTATAAAGTGTTATCACGGCAGAAAGCTTTGTGTATTTTGTACACCCGTGATACAATGGCTTTTCTGCTGCTTGTGACAAACTCTCAAATATACGTGGTCGGCCACTAAAATGATCTTTGACTTCGCCCATCATCTCATCAATGTGATCTACTTTGTCACCCTCATCATTATCTTCAATTTCATCTTCATCTTCACCTTCACTCTCGATTTCAATGTCGTCATTATTCTCACCCTCAACATCAGAACATGTCTCGATTGTGACATTGGCCATCTCATTGGCATTTGTTTGATCTTCTGTGTACACACCTTTCTCACCATGCCATACCCATACATAGTATTCTTGTCTAAATCCACGACGAATTAGATGTTCTCTGATTGTCTCTATTGACTGGAATGAATTTACATTGGCACAATCCACACAAGGACAATATAATTCATCACAACCACTCAACGCTCTATAATCTAAACAACATTTGCAAAACTCAGCAACCCCATTCATAAATTCCAATGTGTTCCTTTTACCGTACATCCAGCTTCGAATCATCTTTACATAAAAAATTGAAAATCGCATTAGTTAGATTTTATAACCAAATAATATTAGGTTAACTAAATATCATAGGTGTTGTGTTGCATTAAAAAATATATATGTGAAGAAAACCAGGGCCAGTCCTGGAATATTAAAGGCCCTGTGCAAAATATTAAAGGCCCTGTGCAAAATTAAATAAAAGGCCCTATATAAAAAAAATTACATTACCTCTATCTCAATGTTAAAGTTAAATCTTCCCTATTAATATTTAATTCATTTTTAATACAGAATAATTAAAATTTACATATTCAGAAATAACATTAAAATCTCTATAAAATTTCAAAATCCAATTTAAAATTTACTTAAAAATTGATATCCCAATAAAGTGAATAAAATGAATTTGTTTGACTCATAAAATTCAATTTTACAAATCAATTTGGGACTGATGGAGTAATTTTATACAAAGTATAATGCATGTAGTGAAAATAATAAACTTAATTTTATTTTATTTGAGCAATTAAAGATTCTATTGAAAAGTAAGATGAAAGTGGGAATCTTTAAGAATATCAATCTAACTACAAATATTAAAAATATAAAAAAGTCGAAGAAATACCTTCCTGCTGTGTGTAGCCTTTGGCCACTAGTCGCGCCTTATAGCGCTCTATCGAACCATCAGCACGCTCCTGGCAAAGTATCTGGTTGCCTGGTTGGTTAAATGATGTTAATGATAGCAGTACTTTTATGAATTATTAATTATATTAATTAATTCAATAATATTGAAAAAAAATGTGTCTCACAACCAAGAAAAATGAAGAAGGTATTTTTAAAATACAAAAAGTAAGTATAAAATGTAATGAAAAAGTTATTTGTTGTTCCTAACAAAAAATATCATAATAAAAGAAATCCAAGTTAATAAGAATTGTAACTATAAGGAGATGAAGAAGTAACTTACAAATGTATATACGCAGTACGCTAGTATAGTAAAGTAATAATAGAAATAATACCGTTCTTAACTAACAAATAAGTATATACGTAGAGTAAGACAATGAATTGGAAGTATTGATTTCACTAGAGATATTTTATATTTGTTCAGCTAATGACCAAAGCATTTCAATCAGCTAACATGGTAAGCTGGTAAGTTGACTAACTTCTTCTTGTAGACAACACGAGTTCGATTCCCCTATGCAGCGTATTTTTTGATTTGATTCAGCTAGAAGGGCTAATTACTTTAACTGCCTGCCCAGCACCAGGGCCGGGCCTGAAGAAAACCATGCAAGTGTATATCTTTTCAGGTTAAAATATAGTATCATATTTCAAATACTATCGTATATGATGTTTTTGATGCGTATCAGATATTCAGATCCAAACAATAATATTATCACACAAAAATATTCTACCTAGCACAATGATTCTCTAAAAAATGAAACAATTTTAATGAGAGGGAGGAAGTATAATATATTTTAAATTGGTAAATCAAAACAAAAACCTCATTTGTTAGAGAAATAGTGTACCGTAGTACACTGGTTGGTATAGGTTAAAGGGTGGCTCAAGACTAAGCTCCTGAAAACAAGTGTAGCTGCATTAAAAGGTCTCTGTGTGGCACCCCACTGAGTCATGCCAGTATATATACCACACAAACAAATTCCACTTCAAAAGAAATATTTAACCCGTTTATGTCTTCTTTCAAAACAGAGCTTTAAATAATAATTTAGCTTCATTATTGTTCTCTGGCAACCCCTAACCAGCCCTTCTTCCATCTTACTTCACAAAATTAAAATAGGGCATATATAAAAAGGCACAAAAAATTATAGATAATACTCCCATCCATGGATATCTTTTCTGTTTGGCTTTATCTTGATCCTCCCAATTGGTCAAACCATCACCACCTCCAGGTAATAATTAATCACACCAACAATTCATTATTCTTCTAAAAAAACTTACTTTAATTTATTCTTCTTCTTCATCTTTTCTTTTAATATGCTTTCATTCATTTCCCAACTTTTGATTCAATCACTTTTTGTTTTGTTTTTTGTTGAAAGAGCAGCAAGGAGATGGGGTTGATGGAGCAACTGGGAGATGGGGTTGATTATTTGTTTGTTGGTTCACATAATACGTACTCTTCAACCATTCATTTTGATTGATTTATATTGTCTTTCATCTAATAAGAGAATGAGGAACCACAAGTTTCTTGTTGGGTATACAGCTTTGAGTAAAAATGTAAAATAATTCAACACAACATCGCATTGTTTTGTTGATTCAGCTATCAACACAACTCTTAGAGCCAAATTATAACTAGAGTGGGCCATGTTACAAGGGACAGATAGTATATAATTCACTGGCATGTAGTCAACTAGCCTAATGCATAAAAAAATAGAAATCATTCTTGTGAATCTTCTGTTTCTCCACGTTTGCCCAAAATTAACACTTACACATTTAGCCTCCAGTTGTTACAATGTTTTATTTTGATTCAATGCCCACTTTATATTTTTTTAAACCAAAAAAATAATGAAGAATACACTTTCATAATTATAAATTCAGTTTTGACATTAGCACAAACAGGTACTGTGCACAAGCTAGCAATTGAGAAGGAAATGATACACACGAATGAGTACGAAGGAAGCACAAACCTCAATTTATGAAAACATAACATCAAATCTACCAATAATTTCACAGAAATAATAACCTAAAAATTGATAAAATTCAATAAATTGAATGATATGACAAATGGTTAGAAAACTAAACCTCTATTGAGCAAACAAGGTCCAAGTACGGTGACTCTACTGGAAAGGGGGCGGCGAAGTGTGGCGTGGTGTAAAGGGACGGTCGCGGCTGAGAGTGGCAGACGGACGGCTGCTGAAGGAGGCCCGGCGACTCTGCCGGACCTGCGGAGGGGCTCTCCTACACCGACACCGGCCTGCAGTTGGAACGATGGAGACGGCTGGAACGATGGAGACGGCTGGAACGATGCCAACGTGCGGCTGAATAAGGTAAGGGTAAAGGTTATACGAAGTACATTTTTATTTTTAAGTCTAAGGGTTTGTTTTGTTTGAAAGAAAAGCCAATGTAAAGGTTATACGAAGTACATTTTTTATTTTTAAGGCTTATTGCTGCGGTTACGACATAAAAATTTATTTTTGAATTTTGTTTAATTCGAACCAGGGCAATTTTTCAGTGCAATTGCTGCGGTTGCGATTGACCCGCCGCAAATACATAAAAATCTTGTGTTATTGCTGCGGTTGTGCTAATGACCGCAGCAAAAGGGGTGCAGCAATTGACGAAAAATCTAGTAGTGGCTAATGACGATCTCAGGTGAACCTGGCTCTGATACCACTGTTGGGAAAAACACTCCGGGCTTTCCCGCTTCGTGAAGTTAAGATAGGCACTTAGGAAATTAGGTAGCAATGGGAGCACGCGATTTAAATTCTCCAATATGGAGATTCTTCCACTATACAAAAGAATAGTAGGGTATACAAGGATGTTACAAAATTGTCTCACTCAATGGTGGCTCACTCAAGCTTGAGGATGATGTCTTCCCAAGCTATCTCTCTTCTCTCTCAAAGAGGCTCTCTAACTTTCTCACTCTAGAAGTGGATTCACTCTTGGCTAGGATTGTTAGGAATGGAGGCTCTTACTCCTATTTATACTACTCCACCTCCCTAATGAATGGTGGAGAGTAGTTCTCTAGAATGTTCTACATATGTCTACATATTCTAGAAAACTCCAAGGAATCTCTACACCTCTCCATTCTCTTCCATATGCTTCCATACTCTTCCATAGGCTTCCGGAAGGTTCCACACATCTCTAGAATATTCTAGAGGTTTCCACACTATTCCACAAGCTTCTAGAGAGTTCTAGACTTCTCTAGGATTCTCCGGAACGTTCTAGAAAATTCTATACTTCTCTAGAAAGCTCTAGAATTTTCTAGAACCTCTCCAATTAAGGAGGGATCCCAACACTTTCAAGTTTCAACTTTATTTATGCACATGATTGCATTCATGTTTGAGTTGTATTACCCGCTCAAAATGTAGTTCTAAAATGGAACCAAAACAGTACCACTGGCTTAAAATCATTACTATTTTCACTTTATACAAAATCGGATAGGAACAAACCTGAACCGGTTGGCTCTACGGTTCTACCTAACAGAACCAAATATGCATCATCGATTCCAGTCACTCCTTGGGATTTAAATCGAACCAGAACTCGCTCATGTCTACCCCTATCAAAGCCAATGAGGAATCCTTCCAAAGTTTAAGTCATCATTGACTTACTTTAGTTAGTTTAGTGGGCACATAGGAATATGGGACGTTTTATGAGTTTATGTTGAACGTCATTTTCAGGTATTTGGCCAATTTCTAGAATAAATGGTTTTGTCGATTCAATGTTTCACAGTTTCACTAAATTTGAAGTATCAAGGCATACAAATTTCCAAGGTATGTTTGAGGGCATTCAGTAGTGCATTCACGCAAAGCTCTAAGCAAAAGTAAAATTCCCTTGAGGAGAGATGCAGTATGAATCTAAAAAGAATTGTTACAGGGAAACTTCTATGCCAGCTCATTAGCTGGTAAAGCCTTCACAATCTCTTGATTGTTTTATACCCTCGTGTGTAATTATTGGAAAGTGGCTACCAATAAGCAGTTATAAGAATAAATAGCAAAATTGCCAACAACACATTTTTCCCAGCTCCAATGTTGCAAGAGTGTTTGTCAGGAAGTTAAAACCTCAAACTTTTACTTTGCCATTTATCTTGTTTAACGGAACTGGAAACTTCCAGGCTCGACATGAAAATTCTTAGTCTGCTTTATCTTTACAGGGCTCCAATAACCATTTTGCTCTCCAAATGATTGAAGGAGATAAAAGGCGTTCTGTTTTCCATCCTGAAGCTGCCATAGTAAAACACAAGAGGTGTGGAGTGTGAGTTGAAAGCGCAAGTGTATGTAGTTATTTTGGGGTTTATAACTTATTTTAAGCTCCAAATAAACTACCCCAGCCCTGTTTTGTAATAATGATGTAAATTAACCTTCAATGATATTACTAATAATGATGTAAATTAACCTTCAATTTTATCTAAAAATGAAGTGAAAATATACTTACTCCATTGAGTGACGTACGTAGTGAGAGAGTTTGGGTCGCTAATGATAAAATCAGTAAGAGCCCGTTTGGTAGCACCAAAATCGGCTGTTTTGGCTGATTCTGCTGAAATTTATGATATTCTGGCTGGAGTGGCTGTTTTGGCTGATTCTGCTGATTTAAGAAAAAAATATTTTAAAAATATATTTTATTAATAAATTAAAGAAAAAATTATATGTAAAAATAGCTAAAATGGTCCTCTACAGTAACTTCAGCCAATACAGCCAGAAAAGTAACTCCAACCTTACTTTTTCGGCTTATTACACAATTCAGCGCGCGAAAGTAAAAGTTACGTGTTTGGTGAAAAAGCTGGCTGATAAGCCTGATAAGCCGAAAACAGAGTTCTCCAAACGGGCTCTAAATTATTCACCATGGTAGTAAATTGCAAACTAAGGGAGTGTTTGTGATTTCTTCTACTTTAAAAAAATGTTTTTTAAAGTGATTTTGGAAGAAGTTCTTAATAGTAAAAGTTGGTAGTGTTTGAGAAAAAAGTGATTCTGAAAAAGTAAAAGTTGGTAGTGTTTGATAAAATAAGTGTTTTTGTGTAATAAAAAAAGTGAAAAACAGTTTAAAGTACCCCTCAACATTCTTCCAACTTTTAGCTTTTAAGTGATTAATTTAACCAGAAGCTATCACTTAAAAACACCAATTTCATCTTTTTTAAAGTCAAAAGCTGAAAAAAGTGTTTTTTAAAATTTGTTGCAAACACTAGGGGTGGGCAAAAATACCGAACATGCATGGTACCGAACCGAACCGAACCGGTATGGTACCGGACCGAAAAACGGGGTTTGAAACGGATCTCAATTTTTTGTCCCGAACCGGAGTACCGGACCATACCGGTTCTAAACTATGTCATGACCGTTTAACGTTGTCATAAAATGAGAACCGGTGCCGGACCGAACCGGACCGATGTACGGTTTAATTATTAAATGTACATTTATACCATTACTTTGACTTAATGCCTTCACACTTTCCTCGCCTTTGCTAGTTCATATAAAGCCCGGAAGCAGACTGATGTATAGTTTAATTATTTAAATTTGTACTACTATAATTTATCTAAATTTTATTAATTATGTAATACTACCTCCGTCCCGAATTGATTTGTAAAATTAACTTTTCTTGGGCAAACAGTTTAATTTTATTCACTTAATTAGGATGTCAACTTTTAATTATATTTAATTTGGAATTTGCAACTTTGAAAAGATTTTAATGTAGTTTCTGAATATGTACATTTTAATTGTTAAAAATTGAATTAATCATCAATAAAGAGAATTTAACTTTAACATTGGTTGACCAAAAAATATTGACTTTGCATATCAATTTGGGACGTAGGGAGCATGAGAATTGATAAATTGTGTGAATTTTTGGAGGATAGCTAAACTTTAATTTTTTTTAAACATTTGAAAAAAGTGGTATTGTTTGGTATTGATATGACATGGTACCGTCCCATTTGAAAATGAAATCGTACCGAACGAGTTTAGGTCTAAGACCGAACCGAACCGTTTGAATAGTCACGGTACGGGTTCGGCCAAATATTGGACCGGATCGGACCGCGCCCACCCCTACCAAACACCCCCTAACTAGGTAGTAGGTATCACAAATTTAACAGATACTCCGTAGTACATACTAGGGCTCTACGAGTGACTAGTAATATGTTTTCTCATCCTCTTTTCAATATAAAGAATGAAATATGTCGACTATTACTCCCTCCGTCCCGCAAAGATGTTCCCGATTTCTTTTTTTAGCAATCCCAAAAAGAAGTTCCCCTTTCTCTAAATGAAAAATTATCCTACATCAAAACAGTGCCAAATAGTCCCAAACAATATCGAAACAGTGTCAAAACAGTAAAATTTACCCCATGGTAAGTTTATTTCCTTAACATGTGGGTAGATCAAATCGGGAACATCTTTGCGGGACGGAGGGAGTACTAATCACTACGGAGTACTTTTATGTAATGATGATTGAGCCAAAATCTATTTGCATATTTCTATGAAATACAAAAATGGTTAAAGGGTCAAAGAGGCCCATGTACCAATCACTCCCCGAACTGACAAAAAAGAGTTCAAAATTCATTTTTTAAGGTTAAATAACCGGTAAAAAAGGTACAATTCGCACCCCCAAACTATTAAAAAGTGTCAAAATTACAATAAATCGAAATAAAAAAACAAAAACAATTAAAAATTTAAAAAATGACCGGTTATTTACCCGTAAAAAAATGAAATTTGAACCATTTTTTGTTGGATCGGGGTGTGAATTGAACCTTTTTTAGATTAAGGACTGAATTGAGCTTACACGATTAGGGCACAACACGGGTCGGGTTCGGGCGGGACGGGTTCAAAAAAGGTAAACCCTTTCGGGTATCGGATTGATAATTTCAAACCCTACCCTATCAAAAATTTATCAGGTTTTTCGGGTTGAAGTAGTTCGGGTTTCGGTCGGGTTGGTTCGGTTTTCGGGTCCATTCGTATTTTAATTTATTATTGTTGAAATTCTTTTAAATAAAATGGTAATTGGTAAAAATATCATTCAAAGTTATACTAGTATAACATTCAAAGTAATAGTTGTATCAATAAGGTAATCGACATATTTGAACATGTAAAATAATAATATACGGTGATTATCATATTTGATATTGTGATAAATAAAATGATAAT